CTTTATGACAACATAAAGCCTATTGTTAAGTGTTGGGTGACCATATTGTTATAGTAAATTAATATTAAAATCTAAAAGCTGCCAAAACTATATTTTCAAACTATTTATTTGCAAATTTAGTCTAATAATTGAAAGCATAAGTGAAATAATAAGTATTGAACAAAATACATATAAAACATTCTGAGTTTTTTATTTAATTGACTTTTTGGACAAAAAAAAACTCAATATATTGTGATATATTCAATCAGTCACCTTTATTTAACCAGACAKAKCCTGTTGAGTTTGGGTTGGTCATCAGCACATGTCACAGAGTAATTGACAAAGCATTTGCTTTGATCAAAATGAAATAAGGAAGAAAAAAAAGAAAACTACAATCACAATAAATAAATAGGTGTTGATAGTTCAGAAACATCTGGATAAGAAAGAAGATATTGTGATGTATTGTGAAAAGGGCTGTGTATTGGCAAGAATTTGGCGATACGATATATATCATAACAGAGGGGTCACAATACGATATATCCCAATATATTGCGATACTGTAAGCAAGGCAGTATATTGCGATATATTGTGATTTTTTTGTCCAAAAATTCTATTAAATAAAAACCTCTTACTGGAAAAAAAAGGAAAAGCTAATGTTTACTTACAATGCTAATGCTACCCTTACTCTCTGGCGCTCAGGAGGTAGAGGAACCAAATGTCTGGCTCACTGCTGCCAACTAGTGGTCAGAGGCTGAACTACAACATAAAAATGAACGGTTAGCAAGAAGGTTGACATTTTAAACCTTAATTAAAAATCGATACAGGGCTTTAGAATATCGATACAGTATCGGGAAATTAAATATCGCGATATTTCAGTGTATCAATATTTTCTTACACCCCTAATTGTGATATATCGTATGGTGACCCCTCTGTCATGATATGTATCATATCACCAAATTGTTGCCAATACACAGCCCTAGTACTGCTGATATACTAGATGTGTTATGGTACCTGGATAATGAGAAACAACAGAAAAAACACCGTAATGCTCCTAGAATATGAATTAAATAAGAAGATACGTCACCACAGGTGGTTTCTGTGATATAAAAGTTGAGTGTCAGTCCAGGAGCTGCAGTTGACACAGTGCATGTGTTACATCTTTGTGCCGTAGGCTGTCCCTATTCATAGGTGTCTACTAATGCAGCCGACAAAACCCAGAAAACATCTGAGTGTCCTACACACGCAACAATATCCCAGAATTCATTGTGCCGTGGGCTGAACTGAGACCCAGCTAATGTAAGGTGGATCATAAGTGTGGAGCTGTTAGTGCCACCTGTGACTAACATGTTCATGTATGTGTGCCACGTGTGTGTAGCTGCATGGTTCATGATGGCTTCCAGTTCCTCCTCATGTTGGAGGAGTCTAAAGATGGACTGTCAGCTAAGACTCACTAAACCTGTTCAACCACAGTTCTGCTAACAGCTGAGACAAGTGGACTAATTAGCTTCTGCTAAAGTTAGCTTCTGCTAACTTTAAAGGGATCCCCGATTAGTTGTAACATTAGACTTTATTTGATAAACATTTATTTTAACTGTAAAATAAAGACTGTAAAAATACTGTAGGATGTTCAATTTTGTAAAATTTTTAAATATGTTTTAACACGAACGGAGCCATTTTATTTACACACAAAGCATTCTGGGTAAATGATGACATCAACTAGGTCATCGGTGCGAGGCTGCTAGCGAGCTATATCCACCCTGAAGGTTAATCTTGGACAATATCTGATGATCGACTCTTTTAAATGAAACCAGAGAGCGTTGACAGAGAAGTTAGAAATGACTCAGCGTGTAAATGAAAATATGGACGGAGAGGTGCTTCATGGAAGAAGAACCTCGGCTTAACCTGTTAGCCTTTGTGCTAGCGCTGACGCTATATTGCCTTATATGGCAAACTAACAAGCTAAATTGAGGTCCTCCATCCATATTTTCAGTTCCAGGCTGAGTCATTTCTACCTTCTCCTCTCTGTCAACACTCTCTGGTTTCATTTAAAAGAGTCGATCATCAGATATTGTCCAAGATTAACCTTCAGGGTGGATATAGCTCGCTAGCAGCTTCGCACCGAGGACCTAGTTGATGTCATCAGTTACCCAGAATGCTTTGTGTGTAAATAAAATGGCTCTGTCTGTGTAATATATTTTTAAACTTTTGGTTTAAAAATTTACAAAACTAAAC